TGACAGCTCCTGGAACCAAACCAGCAGCACCAATTCACTGCTAGAGCTCAGACTGGGACGGGCTGGAGGCAGTTTCCATGGATATGGACACAGTGGGGAATCAGGGGCTGCACCCCAGTGAGGGGGGCAAAGGGAGAGGATTCGTGATCCAGCAGCTCCTCGGAGCTCGCCCCTCTCCTCTCGCTGGGTGAAAATGGAGCCTTTTCCCCAGCAAGCTGCTTCCTTTCATCTCCCAGCTTTCAGCTCATCTCAGAGGGTTTTGGGAAGGGGAAGGAATGGGGTTCTCTCTGCTCCTTTGCTTTCCCCATTTCAGCTGCAGCATCTGAGCACCAAGATGGGGACGGGCAGCGCTAAGCCCTGGAGCTGCACTCAGAGCCAGAGGCAAAGTCACCAAAAAGGTACAAAGGTTTCAGAGAGCAAGAAAACCCCTTCAGCTGGTGATGCTCCAACTCTGGCAGTGCCCTGGGAGACAAAATCTTCCAAGGAAAAACAGGAGGGACAGACTTCTGAGGCAGATCTTGAACACACTTTGGTGTCATCAAATCCCAGAGTGGCTTGGGTTGGAAGGACCTTAAAGCCCATCCCATTCCACCCCTGCCATGGCAGGGACACCTCCCACTGTCCCAGGGCGCTCCAAGTCCTGTCCAAGCTGGCTTTGTGTCCTCCTGTCCCTCCACACAACTGTGGCTGGGTGAGTGCTGCTCTCTTGGGACCAGGGCTCTTATAATCCTAAAAATCCCACCTGCCTCCACCCTCGATTTGGAGACTCAGAGGGTCCCTGTCATCCTCCAGGCTCTAAAATATCAACAAAGCAAAATGCTTTTGTCACTACAGGGGTTCCCTGCTGTCACCTCAGGGGAGCTGCAAGGGGGGGACACGGCAGGAGAAGAGGGAGCCTGGGGGATGGGGTGGGACTGGAGGTCCCTGCAGGAGCAGCCAGTGCCACCAAGGCCGGCGGAGATGGCTGAGAACACGAGCCAGGCGTGACTTTCACAGCCTCCGGAGCAGGCGCTGCCACCGCCGAGCCATCACCCGCGCGTTAAATAAAACACATTGCCAGTGAGGTCATCTAATGGCCCATTATTTCTTTATTTGAACTTTTTACCTTCACCTCTTCCTCCGTGCTGAATCAGCTCCTTGGCTTGACACTTTAATTCCTGCCCCATTTGGGAGATTGATTCGGGCTCCGGGGGGATGCTGAGCTCCCTCCGGCCCCGGGATGAGGCAGCAGGAGCCGGGATGTGCCCGGACACCCCTCGGGGTTTGGGGGGGTTTGCACAGAGCGAGGGTCCGGCCACGGCTCCCCCTCCCCGTTCAGTGCAGGGGGTTGGGATCGGGGTTCTCCCCACAAGGAGTGGAACCGGTTTCATCCCTTCCCCTCGGGTTGCTCGGCTCATCCCGGGGGCGGGAGGGTCCTGGAGGGGCACGGAGCAGCCAGAGCTGGGAGCGGTGCTGGGGAGGCTGGGCTGGGCTGCAGAGGAATCAACAGCGGCTGCAAACTGCAGGGATGAGGAATCACGGAATGGTTTGGGTTGGGCAGTGCCCGGGTTCCGAAAGGGCAAAGGGGGAACGGGCTGGGACCCCTCGGGGCTGGGAACCCTCTCACCCCCCAGCCCGTGCCCGGGAGGCACCGGTGTCACCCTGTGCCAGAGTGGTGTGGGGGGACACACCCGAGAGGCCACGCCCAACAGCAGAACAGGGCCTTGTCCCCACCACTGGCACAGAATCATGGAATGGTTTGGGTTGGAAGGGACATTAAAGCCCATCCCATCCCATCCCATCCCATCCCATCCCATCCCATCCCATCCCATCCCA